AGTCTGAGAACATAATGTAATAATGTATGTTATAATTATGCTATAGCGTTGTTCTGATGTTTGTGGAGTATGGAAGTTATATCGGTAGCATCGCTCGGGAAAATAACTTCCAACATCCGCACCACATGGTGTTATGTCATAATATATGATTTTCAATATGCCTACTTTATTAGATTTTATTGAGAACAAATGAATCTATGCTTGTAGAATCTAGTAGTTATTTCTGGTTGGTAATATCTGCGTGACATACTTGCTGTGTAGTTAATTCTAGTTAATACCAGCTATACCAGACTATGAATATCTTGAAGATCAGCACATCTTTGTTGCAGTCAAGTCTGAAGACAGTGATGAGTATTTTGGTGAGGACTGCTGTGATTTTATCCTTATTAATAATTGTCAATGGGAAAATTCATTAATGTATCATTTACGAAGATCAAGGTATCAAAGATATCAAAAAGTATTAGTATGCATGTTGGCATCATCACAAGATAGTTGAGAAGTTTTGATATCTCTATTCAAATCACAAATCATCAAATTTTCATGCTCAGTTCATTACTTGTAAACAAAAGGTATGTATACTGTTGAGGTGCTGTGGCCATTCTACTCTGTTGCCAGTTAGCTAATTTCTGATACAAATGTACAACCATTTATAATGCCTAGGTTTGATAAAAAATTTATGTGACGATTCAATTGATTTCAAAGTTTTCAGACTAAAGAAATTGTATTCTTGTATAGTTTGTGTAAAACTACCCCATTTAGGTGAATGGTACACCTTAGAAAAAATAGTTTGATCTAACTGGTTCCAAACACTTAATTGTTCCAAGAAGCGCTCAGTAAAACAGTCAGCATTTACTTTTCTGACAACGTTGCTGTGTACAAAACAATTTGGTGATGACAGTAAAGTGTTGAGCCAGTCTATATCAATTATTTGTGGTCTTGTTATTCACAAGTAAATGATGTCAATAGCAGTAAATGCCAGCTCAGTGTTATTTTGATGAAAAAATGGCATCTGCCAAATTACTTGACCTGATCTCATGGACATCAGATTATACAGATCAGTGAAATTTTAATTTTGCATTTTATTTGCCTATAATGTTTCAGCCATTTCAGAAAGGAAACATGGTTGTACTAGAACTATTGTTGAATAACGACTAACCAGAAGTTGATTGGTTGTCCAAATCCACATGACCATTTTTGTATGGCTGCAGTTTTGTATTTCTACACATAGGATGATTATAGATACTATGATGTTTATAGCACTTTACTTTGGCTGCAGCATTGATGTTGATTTAATTGTTCTTTGATGGTTGTCCAATTTATAGGAGAATGTGTGCTGGCATTGAAGTTCAAGTTTGGTTCGTTGCCATCGTCATTCAAAGCTACTCTTTCACATCTTGGTGAAGTCACAGGAAAAATCATGTAAGCATAGTCTTGTAATTATTTGGTATGATCATAAAATCTGCATTATTGTTTGTATCCCAGTCGTAATAGTGTGTTATTATTCTAATTATTGTATACCACAGAAATAAGCTATCTAACCATGGGGTTTGTTGGGGTATGGCCGACTATGTCATTGACATTGAAAGTCATCAGCGGAAAAAAGACCATATATCTTGGTAATTAACTTTTATACTCTATGAATTTTTTTTTGTTACATTTGTTTATTTGTTACATTAGGGGTAAAATGCATGTGAAGACAGATGAAAAACTGTTACGTACAATGACCTCAAAGAGGAGAGGAAAAAGCTATGGTATGTATCAGATTTTGACATTTTGTTTTGTTTAAATATAATCAAATCTTACCAAAATATTGTTTCAAACATGCAAGAACATACACAAAGCAATATCATATAAAAAATAGTTTCTAAACTAAGGGTCTAGTACCGTAAAATCTGTATTAGAAGCTGCATCCCTGATAGAAGCTACACCCATTCTTTTCAAACAATTGAGAACCAAAACTTCACCATTTCTCATATGTGTAGATGCTCTAATAGAAGCCACATCCCCTCTGTTGCATTGTACCATTTTAATAGAAGCTGCGGCTTCTAATACAGATTGTACAGTAGTCGTCATTTCATTGAAATTGGTCACTGAGCGGGGATCATAGAAAATCATGATGCATGACACACAATACTATGGGAAATGACACATAAAATCATCAACGAGAGGTGGTCAGAGAGAGATTTAGCTTCTCAAAATGGCAATGAATTTGACTTTTTGCCAAGGGCCTCAGTAAATTGTCATCTTGCATCGTAATCACAGAGGTTTGCTTGACAAGTAATTTATTGTACAACGTCAATATATTGTGTATATGCTATGCTATAAGTGTCCACATTTCGGCCACAAAATTGACACTAAATTGCCAGGAAATGTTTTATGAAAAATAAAAATAGAAGGAAAATGATCAAGATTTATTGCTACTTTAAACTTTCTAAATTTTTTTTTCATTTATGCTTTTTAGGTTTTGTCATTACTGAGGGTGATCCTATTGCCCAATGCATCTTGCAATAATAGCTCATGGCTTTCATTATTCATTATTTGTTGTCTGTCTGTCTGTCTGTCTGTCTGTCTGTGTATGTAGTCCGACTTTTATCTCTTCAATGCATATTTTTTTTGTTTTCAAACCAAAATGCTATGTGCATTTCTGGAAATTCTCAACCATATTATAAACCAAGTTGGTTATTACATCAGGTGCCATATTTTTTCATCACATTGCAAAACAGTCAGCAAACCAGTGAGTGACTAACCGGTCAGCTCAATTAACTTTCATCTTTGGTGTCAGATATTATCGTGCCATGTCATACTATTATCATTGGGGCCATCAACTACTCACAGGGGATTTAGCAAATACAGTCATTTTTAGTAGCAAAATGCTGTAAAAATTATAATTGTTATTTTGTTTTTTGTTATACAGTATTGTTGGTTGTAATGCTGAAATATGTAGTGAATGAAATAAATGTGTCTGCCGAAAGTGAAATGTTACTTTCGGGGGGACATTTACATGTAAATTTATTGTAGTTTGACGGGGAGGCACCTTCCAGTATTTTTATATGTATACTCCTGTTTTTTGTGGGTTGTATAAATCATTTCTGATTTAGGAGTTAAGGTGGCTTGGGGAAGCAAACCATTCATCAATGTATTGTGTTAAATAATAACATTCATGTGTTTTAAATAATAACATAATAAGTAAAATGATTTATATATTGTGTATTCACAAAACTTTTCATGTTTTCCCTGTTTGTATTCAAACTTACATCCCCTGTGATAATGGTTTGATCTGGCACAATCAAAATTCAAACAGCTAAACGGTTATCTGGTTTGCTGGATATATGTTAAATGAACATTATAACCCCAGGTGTATTATTAATTAATATGTCTGGTTGCATATGGCAGGCCTTACTTTGTTGACAGAAACCGACTGTTCTATTTTATAAATATATATAATTCATCCATTAGCCATCTCATCACATACAATACATGTACAAAATTTCATATGTTCTGTAATTTGCTTGTGTTTCCATCTTAACTGTAAACTTATAAGCAATATTTTTTTAATTATTCAACTTTGAATTTTCATACATTAGAAATATAATCTTACTATCTGCATGACACTTCTGCATGAGTTTTTTGTTGTTAATTTTTCTAGAGTTGGTTTCAATCGAGGAGACTGGTTCGTCTCATCCACCATGTTTACAAGATGCATCACTTCTCACAGTTGATACAGTTAATAGTCATGAGGCTTATACATCACCATCAGTACCACGAAAGAAAGTCATTCTCCAATCGCAATCATTTGATGTAACACCTCAACTTCCACCAAGTACATCAACTAAACACAGACCTTATTCCTGCCATTATGGCATGCAACCACCTGCTGCTGAAGCTGCAATTAATGAGTCATTCCATTGGGGAAAAACGTCTGTACCATCTGACATTGCTACACCTCCCATGCTTCCAGTTCGCCATCATATACCTTTTGACAGGCAGGCATCTGAACCATCTTCTAAACTACATAAACCGCCTTTACCTGTGAGAAACATCAGCATAATTCCAGAACAAGAAAACTTGTCTTCTGAGCAAGCACAAGATGTGCAGATCGCTGCCACCACCAAGAAAGTTGAGCCAGAGGAGGAGGATGATGATACAAGTTACTTTGAGTATCCTCCAGGGCCACCAGTACCACCAAGGCAAGGTATTAATGCCATGCTTGGGAGAACACTTCCACCTGTGCCTTTACCACCAGCGCCAAAACAGAGCCAAGGAAACCTTCCACCATTACCACCATTGCCTACTAGTATGAATAAAGCAGTTGACATCACTGAAGATGATAAAGAAGTATGTGAGGTCAGTAGTAAAGTACAGTCAAATTAGTGTTTGATACCTTTTACGATTCTTATTTACTTGACTACGTAATAAATAAGGACCTTAACTGAAACCCCTTTTTATGGGGGGGGGGGGGGCTCTCTTGATCTCCATTTGAATAAATAATGTCAGATGGACAACACCACTATCATAGAAAAAGGGAGGGGTGTACTTTTATGAACATTGTTTGTACTCTTCATATGTGTGTATGTCACAAATTATTCTTTCTCATTCTTATGTATTACCAATTTATAAGTGTTCCACAGATAAAAAATATCTTTAGTACCTTTCATCAAATTTAAATGAAATTTGGTACATAGTTAGTCTTACACAACCATGCATATAAATCGTATATTTGCATCAATTGGGTCATGTGATCTAAAATAAATAACAGCCATGTTGTTTTACTGTTGACATGCAAATTACTACCGGTAACACTTGAGCAGAGTGTTCAACTACTTGTCACTCACCAATGGTGGTTACAGTGTAAAGTAATACGGTAATATTACGATTTTTAAGATGAGCAAATATGCGATGTTTACAATAGGGCAACAATGTATCTGTTTATATGGAAGCTACTGTTCAAAGACAACACTAGCCTTACCTACAGCTAGCACAACGATTTCATTCAGAATCGATGCAAACCAGAACCGAATTGTAGAAATGTAAGTGAATCAGCTTGGGAGAGAATATTGTTCTGGCAAAGCTGTCAGTGAAGACCTTGATTCTCTCCTTGTGAACAACATCAGTGAAAACAAAGTGACAAGTCAAGTGGTTACATTTGTACTGTGCACCGGTGATAAGTTTTCAAGGTACATTGTAAAAAAAAAAGAAAAGAGGGAAGCCAAGGAAGTTAATTGAAAATGAACTTGCCTGTGACACCTTAATTGCAATATGTTTGAAAATATACTACAGGACCATTGGCTCATACTGTTTTTTTTTCAAACCAAATCTGTAAGTGAATATTGAACTTCAGACTGAACGTGCCCGACCCGTGTCTGACAACTGAAAATGCAAACATTGTTGCACTATTGTAAACATCGCGCAGTGCTTATTGACAAAACAATCATAACATTAATGCTTTGCACTCAATACATGTATACCCATAATTGGTGACTATACCAAGTAGTTCTTTGCTCTACTCAGGTGTTACTTGTAGTACCAGCACATGCAAAAAGCTATTAAGGTAGCGAGAGGGGAAACACAAGTAATAGTTTAATTGAGATTAGGACTTTCCTCGCCCATTACTAAGCATACAGTTAAGGCAATGTATATGTTTTCAGAAAGCTGGGATATAGCAGAATACGATCATATGTTTCGTGTTAATATTTGCTCAGGGGATGAGGTTACAATCTGTGAACCTCCTGCCGGATTGGTCATTTCTCAGTGTTCCTTTTTTCTATGAGAATGATCTTTTCACTGCTGCTGTATAAGATAATGATCTTTGAAACTGCTTCTTTGAATTTCTATGTGTCTCATAGTTCTGGAGATATAGTCCGTTGAACTTGATGGACTAAATTTTATGAATGTCTCCATGTTCCCAACGTCGTAAGTCAACGTCAACGGCTCTCATAAACGTCCATGAGTCATCATACTTTAGCCCATTTTGTGGCGAATAGATTGTGTGATTTGTACATCGTTAGTGTGAAGAAAAGTATTAAAATATGACATCTTCAATTGTTATGATAGTCAAAAATTAGTTGCCATAAAAACTGGATAAAACGTTTCTTCGAATGTGGCTACTTATAAACAGCTAATTAATATATATTATCCATATATCACTGCCAATTTTATTTACAGACTGTAATTTTACCAGCGTCTGTATCCTCGATTTCCATCTCCTCCATCTCTTTCCAATATATTTTTGGCAATATATCCCATTTTAATTTACTAATTAGTGTCACTGCATGCAGTAAATCATATTTCCTTAAAAATATATAACTATATTATGTTAATTTTTATGCCAATACAGTATGCACATTAACCACAACCCTGAGAAAAATTGTGGGTTGACATGTGATCTCATTAATATGCATACTGGCATTGAAGGAATCTGACAAGATATATGACTAACCTATCAGATGACATATATGGTCATGTAGCCTTAATTAATAACTTGAGCATAACTAATATTTTCAACACTGCAGGCAACCAATGCAAAATAAAGGCATCTGATAAGGAATATAACTAACACGTCAAGTGACTGTATTAATGTTGCAGATAGTATAGCATATGTTGTTTTACAAGATATAAAACCCAAATATCAAGTCGTAATATATTTATAGCATAGCCACTGGAAAACCACCCTAATCATTACTAGCAGTTATATTGTTAAATACTGTGTTTGTTCTATTAGAAGTACATGTACTTAAATGTAACTGACAGTGGTGAGTCTATGTTTAAAATAAGCATTTGGCGATGTACTTAATATGGTAAATATAGTATTCTGTAGTATTACATTGATTTATTTGGTTTTTTATTGAAAGGATTATGAAACTCTCACATGGCCAAAGACGATCTCAGAATGGTTGATGAATCTGGGCCTACCACAGTATGTCACAAGACTTATGGATAATGGATGGGACAGCGTGGTTTTCTTGGACTCGATTATGAACAGTGATCTTATTGAAGCAGGAGTCACTAATGAGGAGCACAGGCAGCGAATGTTGAAGAGTGTAGCTGACATGAAACAACAGTGACGATGTGATAATTGAAAAAATGAGTTACAAGAAAGAGAAAAACTAGTATGTTGTGGGAAGGTCATCGCAAGTATTCAAACCATTAAAAAAAAAAACGTATTTATCAGAATTGCCTAACAACTTTTGACAACCTGTTGTACCCACCTTATAACCAGATATTTTTTCGCTACATGTAACTCAATCAAATTTAAAGAGATCTTTTTTTTTAAAAACCATATCAAGCTATATATGTGTGTGTGTATTATGTGTGTGTCAGTCTGTTCCACTGATATCTCAAGAACCATATGTTGGTTTTTTGATAAAAGTTGATGCGTAGATGCTCTGGGCTAATGCGCAGATTTGATTATTTTGAGGTAAAAATACATGCATATTAATTGTCTAATTTGCATAACAATTAGTAAATTTGTGGCATTTTCACTGATATCTCAAGTAACTAATCATCACATTTCAATGAAACTTGAAACATAGATGTCATAGGACAATGCACAGCCCTGACTGGTTTTAGGTTTGTAATATTTGCATATTAATCACCGAATCTGCATAATTAGTCAATTTTCAGCTTTTGATATTTCAATCATTACTTTTCAATGAAAACTTGGTACATGAGTGATCTAGGACTATGCACATACCCGATTATTTTTGGGTAAAAGTCTCATGCATATTAATTACCTAATTTGCATAGCAATTAGTCAATTTTCGGCTTTTCAACTTGTCTCAAGTACTTATCTTATTTCAATGAATCTTGGTACATTGATGATGATTTATTTTTGGATCAATCATCAGATTATAATGAAACAATAGCCCATTTCTGATATCTAAAAAAATCAGATTTGAATTGAATTTGTTGCAGAGGTGCTCTGTAAATAATTAGACTAAAAACCACAGATGAAAAATCAAATGAATTTTCTGTAATTATTATAAATTTTGATAATGTGGTTAACATAGTTTTTATGTTGTGCACACAACTATTACTTGCCAAGCTTCTTGTTTGAAAGGCCAATCTTAAATTTTGAATTAATTTTAATGGATCTCCAATACTCTCAGCACAGAAGAGTTTTCTTGAATTAAAATGCAATTCTATGTTGAATTGCCATAACGCAACTGTATTGTTAATCCAATATGTGTCTTCACAACGTAGGTAAGACATGTGTATGTTCTACTGATATCTCAAGAACTAATTATAAGATTTCAATGAAACTTGGTACAGGATAATGCCCAAACCTGATTAGTTTTTGGTTGAAATCAGCGCATATAAATTACTACATTTGCATATTAATTAGCCAATTTTAGTTCCACATAATTAGTCATAAACTACTCATATCAGATTTCTGTAATAATCCATATATATTTATTTTTGTGCATACTAATTATCTATTTTGCATAAATTAATCAATGTATAGGTGTTCTACAGATATCTTGAGTACCATTCATCAAATTTCAATAAAACGTGGTACACAGGTGATTTTGGATAATCTGCAGTTTTGATTACTTCAGGGTAGAATTCATGTATATTATAATAAAGGCATTTACCTTAGAGCACAAGAGTTCTTTCTAAGCTTTTTTTGATTTTTGTATTATAAAATATAGAATAAAACATGAGAAACAAAATTGTCACAGCGATTTTGGCCATTTTTTTTAATTAAAATTTTTATTTTTGCATTTTTACCAGAAAATTGTGTTCGTTTTTACATTCAGAAAGTGAAATCTTTAGAAATGCATAAATTTTACAAAAATTGCTACGACTGTTATGCTCATATGTACATCTACAAACTCTTAAAAAAAGTGCCTGTTAAGTAATACTCATTTGACTGATCAGAATTGAAACAAAGATATACACTAATTTGCATATTAATAGATGAATTGTAGAGTTGCTGAAATATTCATGAAATATTCTGGGACTAATGTTTTGACCCCAATTGCGGATGATAGGTAAGCATCTAAAAATGTTTTAAAATTAGTTCCTACTTGACTGAGATTTATTATTTATTTAAAATGCATATGAATATGCAAATTTAGTCAATTTTTGTTTTGACCACTGTTTTCAAACATATTCCATTAATGACAGTGCACTGAAATATCATGGAATAATTAGATATACTTGTAAATAACAATATAATTTAAAAAAAAAAAATAACAAAGTTACTTGAAAATAGAAGAGGTTTATGTTAGCCCACTGCTGTATAGAAAAGATGTACAAGACCCCCTCCCCCAAAGTGACATCTATGGTTCATGTTTCAACTCACAATCATTTGCAAAATCCAATATAATGGAAACACATTTATATTGTATGTTTCTTTTGCAAATTCAGGCCATCAAATAATAGTACCAGAATACCATTAAAGCTTTATGAATGGTTTTAGAAGGCAAAAGGAGCAATCCTAGAAACTGACAGGTTTCCCTTCTATGACTTAAGAATATATATAGAATTGAAATACTGATTTTGGCTTTATACTTAGCAATTTTATTATAGAATTAATTAATTCTATTTCACTTTATTTTGTTTTTATATTTTTGAAAATTATCTTTTTATTAGTTGATAAATTTTGTAAAATTTTAACAATAGTTGTGCTGAAAATAACGTGATCAATTCCTTTTGCAGCTGAAGTTACTATGTTATTTATTATATATTTTGTGTCAAACTCAAGTGCTTGTTATAAATCATGTCTTTTTCATACTGTGTTCCAAACCTCACAATACTTTGTATAAATCATGTACTTCCCAATCCTGTG